TATGAGCTCCATCTAACATTGAAACTCACAATTAATCCAGTAGTTTCATTGAAGTCACATCATTAGATTCCTAAATTAGATTTCAGTAACATTGCTCTTCGGTCAAAATTTCAAGCCAACTTTTTTAAATTGTGTACCATTGCTCAGTAAAAAAAAAAGGCAATAAGTNCCCACCAAGTGGGGTGGTTGAGTGGGTTCTCAACCGAACTTCTCATCTTTAAGTTTGAGGTTTGAATTTTAGAGTTTATATTGAAATTTGGTAATTGACTACAATGTTAACCTAGCTAAATTAATGGGTACGGTTAAAGATTTTATAATCTCACAAATAAGGACCTATCAAGGTGATTTAAGAGCACTCTCTTTTGTTTTTATTTTTTTTTTAAACATATAAATAAAAAAAGAGAGATATTCTTTTAGTTACACTTAAAAAAAATTCAGGTTGGCAAAAACATTTAATATGGTTAACTTATTATCATCCCAACTAGGGCAAAGGCTACGGTACCGAAGGAGGTACCGTACCAAAAGTTACAATAATTTCATATTAAGTTATAATTTTTTTGAAATATATATTACAACTTTAAATGTTAAATTACAACTCAAATGAGAGAATTTATAACTGTTGAGGAAAAATTCTTGATCGATCATGTGTATCTATGATTGATCATAAACTTTATCTGAACGATTATAATTTCTTTCTTTTTATTATAAAAATAATAACATTCGGTACCATAGCGAAGGTGGTACCGTAGACTTTCCTCCCCCAACCACTCAACTGAACATTTGACCGGTGGAAAAAGTACAAAGATTGCGAATTGTGTTTGTTTAGTCGGTCCACACCAGCTACGATTCAGAATCAGAATAGTGGGGTACTTCTGTTGGCTAGAGTCAAGCACATAGGTGGATCACTCTCCAGAGAACGTGATAGTGAATCTAAGGGTGCGTTTGTTTGAGCTTTTTGTTTGGTGTTTTTTTTAATTTTTATTTTCAATTTTTATTAAAAAAATAAACAAAAACGTGTTTGATATTTATTTTTATTTTTTTTCATCTAAATTATCTTGAAAATAAGTTAAAAAACTGGGAACAAAAAAAATATGTTCTAAGAAACAACCCAAAACATGAAACACGCAGTGGCTGACTCAATCTTTTAATGAGGTCTCCGATTCGAAATAGATTTAAAATATTGATTTAATGAATTATTACCATTGAATAGATACTGAATCCAAATAAATATTGGAACCTACAGTTAAATTAATGACAAATATAACAACTACGTCATTAAGTCAAGGAAAATGCTATTTAGACATAATTTGGGGACCTTATTTAGCGACCTAATACCATCAAAAACTCTGCAGTTAAACGTGCTTGAGCGAGAATAATATTAGGATGAGTGATCCCCTAGAAAGTCCTTATGTTGCACCACTTTTAAAAAATATATTAAGGGACCTAACGATGCATAATCATTGGATTTGTTATGAGCTCCATCTAACATTGAAACTTACAATTAATCCAGTAATTGCATTGAAACCACATCATTAGATCCCTAAATCAGATTTCAGTAACATTGCTCTTCGGTCAAAATTTCAAGCCAACTTTTTAAAATTGTGTACCATTGCTCAGTTAAAAAAAAGGCAATAAATATATGAATGGAACGAAATGCTTAGTCTTTCTCTCATAAAAAAGAAGGTTAAGTAGGTGGTAGAGGAGGTGCATCAAGCCCAATTTAAAGCCTCAACAACCCAATTGTCTAAAACAAACGGCTAGTTTGGTGGGGGAGTACAATGGATGTCATTTCTGTAAGTACTAGTGTATAGACAGAAGTCATTTTCTATTTACATATATAGGTATTGATATGAAATTATGAATGTAGGTATATAGCCCATTTTGGACGACATTTGGTTTTGGTTGGTGTCTTTGATGTCTTGGCAATCACGTTTTCAGTTCACTTCCCAATTAAATCATGTTCTCATCAACCAACTGTCTTGTACCTTAAGCGGCTGTTTGGCAAGGGGTATGGGGGGTTTGGTAAAATATGTTNATCAGATTTCAGTAACATTGCTCTTCGGTCAAAATTTCAAGCCAACTTTTTAAAATTGTGTACCATTGCTCAGTTAAAAAAAAGGCAATAAATATATGAATGGAACGAAATGCTTAGTCTTTCTCTCATAAAAAAGAAGGTTAAGTAGGTGGTAGAGGAGGTGCATCAAGCCCAATTTAAAGCCTCAACAACCCAATTGTCTAAAACAAACGGCTAGTTTGGTGGGGGAGTACAATGGATGTCATTTCTGTAAGTACTAGTGTATAGACAGAAGTCATTTTCTATTTACATATATAGGTATTGATATGAAATTATGAATGTAGGTATATAGCCCATTTTGGACGACATTTGGTTTTGGTTGGTGTCTTTGATGTCTTGGCAATCACGTTTTCAGTTCACTTTCCAATTAAATCATGTTCTCGTCAACCAACTGTCTTGTACCTTAAGCGGCTGTTTGGCAAGGGGTATGGGGGGTTTGGTAAAATATGCTTAGAGAAAATAGTTTAAAGGACCCCAAATTTCTTGTTTGTATAAAAAATTTAGTCTTGAATTTTCAAATATGGCCCTAAGATTAAAACCATGATCTTGAGTTTCATCAAACCTAAAGGGATGTGAGTTTGGGAAGATGGGTAAGGGATTAAGAATCTAAAGACAATTGTACTTCTTAACATGAGTATGAATTGAATTGATCAAGGGTAAAATAGTCATTTATAAAAAAATAGTTGTAAATAATTATTATATATCAGTGGATCCTACATATATAATGATATATGTTTTTACGACATAATTTGATTATAGTTGAATTATGTGTATGTTGCTCAATGCCTCTTGCAAAATGAACAAATTGTTTAGAATTAGAGTGGACCGATCACAGATATTTCGATGCTTAAATCAATAAGAGATAAATATAAAAGGAATTGTAAGAAAAATCGTGTGTACCTTTTCTTAAACCTTATCGGTTCTTTTTATAAGATGTCTTGGCCTCCCTTCTGTAGGGTTTCATCTACTTGCAAGGCAAGGCGATACACTCCCATTACACTGGACTTTCAGTTATTTCTTGTTGAAATCTCTTTGACGTTTAGTAATCAGATAATTATTCAGAATCATTGACAATGATTAGCTATAACTTTAGTAACNTAAAGACAATTGTACTTCTTAACATGAGTATGAATTGAATTGATCGAGGGTAAAATAGTCATTTATAAAAAAATAGTTGTAAATAATTATTATATATCAGTGGATCCTACATATATAATGATATATGTTTTTACAACATAATTTGATTATAGTTGAATTATGTGTATGTTGCTCAATGCCTCTTGCAAAATGAACAAATTGTTTAGAATTAGAGTGGACCGATCAAAGATATTTCGATGCTTAAATCAATAAGAGATAAATATAAAAGGAATTGCAAGAAAAATCGTGTGTACCTTTTCTTAAACCTTATCGGTTCTTTTTATAAGATGCCTTGGCCTCCCTTCTGTAGGGTTTCATCTACTTGCAAGGCAAGGCGATACACTCCCATTACACTGGACTTTCAGTTATTTCTTGTTGAAATCTCTTTGACGTTTAGTAATCAGATAATTATTCAGAATCATTGACAATGATTAGCTATAACTTTAGTAACTTACCTATCTTATCAATTTAATTTCCTAAATGATCAGTAATCACTTGCTTAACTCGTCTGGAACAGTGGTGGCTTCTCTTCCTATATAAAAGAACTTAGAAATCAAATAGATATAGGAAATAAAAATTTAATAAAAGAGTTCAAAAGAATTTAGAAGTTAAATAGGTATAAAAAATAAAAATTGAAGAAACCAATAAATGGGTATCATTAACTTTATAATAAAAATTAGAGATAAAATAGAAAAATCAACAAATTTTCACAAACAATGACATTTATAAGTTATATAATATAATATATAAAAATAAAAATAGATACATGTAATTTTGAAAATCCCCATTGAATGAGAGAGCCCTGGTCAAAAATCGATAGTGATGTTGGGGATCTAGTTGTGCAGGCACTTTAATCATCGAGTCACCAGCTTCCTTCATCTGCCAATTAATAGTGAAGGCAGAACTGGTTTGAGTGGAAGAAACTTCGTAAACAAAATGCAAACTAGTATACATGTAGATTTAGGTTGCATTTGATAAACTCTTGTTTATGTTTTTGTTTTTAATTTTTGTCAAAATAAACAATTAAAAAATGTTTGTGACGTGTTTTTATTTTTTATTTTTAACAACTCTATTTTAAAAGCAAGGCCAAAAAATATTATTTTTTATTATTTGTTTAAAATNAAGAGTTCAAAAGAATTTAGAAGTTAAATAGGTATAAAAAATAAAAATTGAAGAAATCAATAAATGGGTATCATTAACTTTATAATAAAAATTAGAGATAAAATAGAAAAATCAACAAATTTTCACAAACGATGACATTTATAAGTTATATAATATAATATATAAAAATAAAAATAGATACATGTAATTTTGAAAATCCCCATTGAATGAGAGAGCCCTGGTCAAAAATCGATAGTGATGTTGGGGATCTAGTTGTGCAGGCACTTTAATCATCGAGTCACCAGCTTCCTTCATCTGCCAATTAATAGTGAAGGCAGAACTGGTTTGAGTGGAAGAAACTTCGTAAACAAAATGCAAACTAGTATACATGTAGATTTAGGTTGCATTTGATAAACTCTTGTTTATGTTTTTGTTTTTAATTTTTATCAAAATAAAAAATAAAAAAATGTTTGTGACGAGTTTTTATTTTTTATTTTTAGCAACTCTATTTTAAAAGCAAGGCCAAAAAATATTATTTTTTATTATTTGTTTAAAATTTTCAATTAGTCTTGAGTTTACGACTCAATAATATGCCAACATTTAACTCTCAACGGTCTTGATAGCTCCATTACACCAAACCTTCCCTCATCAACGGCTCCTTGTGATCTCTCGCTCTCTGTATATAAATATGGGGCTGTGTGTGCTTCAATGAACTATCAACAAACACCTACAGTCCTGTTGCCTTCCCAGTTCCCAGCTTATTCTTGCACAAAACCTTATACTAATCTCTCTCTCTAAACAATGGTGTCAACTCACGTGGAAAACTTGGTTTACGACGTAAGGCTGTCGTCAGTGGTTCCGGCGAGCGTGACCGGAGAGGACAAGGTTCAAGAGCTAACAAACATGGACTTGGCTATGAAGCTTCACTACCTTAGAGGACTCTACTTCTTCAAAAACGACGCCGTCCGGGGGCTTGACATCTCTGACTTGAAGAAATACATGTTTCAATGTCTAGTATTCTATTACCCGACCACCGGGAGGATCCGGCGATCCGAAAACGGCCGTCCGTTCATCAAGTGCAACGACACCGGTGTAAGGATAGTCGAGGCGCAATGTAGCAAAACCGTTGATGAGTGGATGGACATGAAAGATGATTCTCTCAACGATCAGCTTCTTTACAGTCATGTCCTTGGCCCTGATTTGGGCTTCTCTCCACTTGTATTCATACAGGTATGTAATCCCTTCTCTGTCTCTCTCTCATGCTCCCCACAAATTAGATTAAAAGTTGCGTGATTTTGCCCCTCAATATATGTGATTTTATATTTTTAATTCAATTTTGCTCTAAAATTGAATGAAACATTATAAGTTTCTGAAATTTGGTTTTTAGATAATGGAAAACTAATTCAAATAATTAAAAGAAAATCATTTAAAAAATTAACATTGAAATAAGGAAAATAAAATTTGGGATCATAGTTTAAGATTATAAAGTATATATATATATATATCTCATCCTTGAATTTTTTTTTTTAATCAATGGTCAAAAGTGTTTGAACTAATTTATGCATATTTTGATTAATCCCTTCTTTGGTCAGGTTAAAAATAGTCATTCACGCTGTAACTAAAATATTCATANTATATATATATATATATATATATATATATATATATATATCTCATCCTTGAATTTTTTTTTTTAATCAATGGTCAAAAGTGTTTGAACTAATTTATGCATATTTCGATTAATCCCTTCTTTGATCAGGTTAAAAATAGTCATTCACGCTGTAACTAAAATATTCATAAAAAATAAATTTCTCATAGTTTAATTTTAAAGAGATATTAAACATTGAGTTTTGATTGTATAATATTTATATTTTAAATAATAATTTTTTAATTATATAATTTAAAATTAAAATAAATAAAGATAAAATAGGAGATAGGTGGGTAGATAAAACAAAAAAACAGAGTGAGGTGGAGATAGANTAAAGAGATATTAAACATTGAGTTTTGATTGTATAATATTTATATTTTAAATAATATTTTTTTAATTATATAATTTAAAATTAAAATAAATAAAGATAAAATAGGAGATACGTGGGTAGATAAGAAAAAAAAAGAGTGAGGTGGAGATAAAGAAGATGATTGACAGATTGATTTTGATGGAACAATAGTCATAGGAACAATATTTTTTGAACTGCGGAATTGATTGCGGTATCATATTTCCATAGTGTGGATAAGAGGGGAAAAAAAAAAAAAGTACCATATTTCCATTTAATTATATTTGCAGGTAAACTGCTGGTCATCAATGAAGTTATGNTTTTGAACTGCGGAATTGATTGCGGTATCATATTTCCATAGTGTGGATAAGAGGGGGGAAAAAAAAAAAGTACCATATTTCCATTTAATTATATTTGCAGGTAAACTGCTGGTCATCAATGAAGTTATGAATGCATTCTTAAATGCACACGCAATGCAGTTTGTTGGCTTTCACATTTTTCCCGTGGGTTCTCGAGCACGTTGGTCCAATCAAACGAATTCTTTGAATTATGGTCAACTTCAAAAAAAGGGTTAATCTCATTTTATACCTTGAAAGATAGTTTGAATTTCAATTTATACTTTTAAAGAGTAAAAATTTTAATTTATACCCTCAAAGATAAAAATTTGTATTAATATNATTCTTTGAATTATGGTTAACTTCAAAAAAAAAAAAAAAAAAAGGGTTAATCTCATTTTACACCTTAAAAGATAGTTCGAATCTCAATTTGTACCTTCAAAGAGCATAAATTTTAATTTACACCCTCAAAGATAGAAATTTGTATCAATGTGCACCCCCAAAGATCAAAAATCTCAATTTGCACCCTCAAAGATAGAAATTTGTATCAATGTACACCCCCAAAGATCAAAAATCTCAATTTGCACCCTCAAAGATAGAAATTTGTATCAATGTGCACCCCAAAGATAAAAAATCTCAATTTGCACTCTCAAAAATAGAAATTGATATCAATGTGCACTCCAAAGATAAAAAATCTCAATTTGCACTCTCAAATATATAAATTTGTATTATTGTATTATTATGCACCTAAAACTAAATTGATAAATTATACCTAGATCCTCTCATGTTTGTCACTTAATCATTTGAACCTCTTTACATTTAAAATATTACTCCAACATCTC